CAACTGTCTTTTTCTTATTCTAAATGCCGATGAAAATATTGTTGAGACAACTTAAATTCACCTATTAATATTAAATTTTCAAGTACGTGTAACGCCCTGAATGCTTACTGCTAAATTCAGACATTTTACCAATTAAAACATTTTTTATTTAGTTTAAAATTAGCGTAATTTAATTCAAAGAATTCTGGAAGAGGGAATAGCGTATTAAGAAAACGAATGAGAAAAGCCTATTCAAGATCCTGACATCGGCTCGAACACTGAAATTGGAACCACTTATCAAGCCCAGACAGTTGTTAAAGTAAGCTTAATCTGGTTCAAGGTTATATAGTATGAGCAAATTTTTTACACTTTCATAGTGTTTTGACCCCAGTTTGGAGTTAACCATAGCTAGGACCCTAACAGATGCTACCACCCCAGGTCAGGGTGAATCTGGAAAAACCAGCGACTACAAGATGATTCCATACTCCTTAAAACCTCCTGATCAGAGGCCTTGCTGTTGGATATAGTTTATCGTCATACCCAGGGCGACGTTAGTCAACGACACTCTCTTCTTCAATACTGTTATTTTTTCTCTTTGTTCTCTATCCACAATAATTATTTATTTCCCAGTTCCTTTCACGCTCAGTAACTCCTTGCGTCTTAGTGGCTTTATTGTCTTGTTTGGGGTGACATGATTAATAAAAACTTGTATGCTGATTTATCTTTCCTTTTAACAATGATGATGTTTTCATAAAAGTGGAGATTTTATCGCTAAGTGTTGTTTTCATTCATTGTTTAATGAACCTGTCTTCAATCACTCTTCTGATGAAGAGGATTAACTGGAATACATGACGACAATTGTTTCCAGCAAAAACAATCTTCCGAAATAATTGCAGCATACTCAAGTAGATTCTCTTGATGGATATTGGGGGCGTTTTCTTTTCTGAAAGAGAACTCATTTTTGCGTCGTCTTTTGTTTTCGAACAGCTGATCTCTTTTCGACATGATCAATCTTGCTCACTTGATCCAGTAAACCAAGTTCTGTCTGTTTATTTGAGTTGATGTTCAATGTTGTTTCCTGCTATCTGGCCGCCATTGATTTGATTATCCGGTGTTTCAAAGAAGAATGTGCGGATCATCTGGTGCTCATGACCGGAACGCAGGTACAACACCGATTTTTCGGTTACTCTTTTATCCGCTACTACTTTTAATACGGACAGTGTTACAAGTGGGCGCTTCACATTCACACAACTTGATAATGGTGGTCAGAGAGGTCGCTTGTGATCTAATGCTTTGTGAGTTATTCTTTTTTTGTGTGTGTTTATCCCTCAGCAATATCTTTGAAGAGAGGTGCCAAACCCAATCAAACCAAGGCGGAGAAAGTAAAGTAATTGATTAGTCACGTACACTGCAATGGTACATATGAATGTTCAGTAATATTTTTAAAAGCAACTTACAATCAGAAATTATTACAAGATAAAGAACATAGTAAGGTAAATTCTGTTAGTAAAACAAAAACAAAATGCAGGAATGTTATCGTTACGAGAATTTTCTTCGCCTGAACAGGACATATGGTTGCTGAAAACAAGGAAAATAAGCACGTGATATTGATAGAAGTAAAACAAAAACAGTGAGGAAAATGTATAAATTATATTTCTGTGTGTACTAACATACTAACACGGGACCATGCCGGAGGAATTGTTATTCTGACACACACACACACACACACACATATATATATATATATATATATATATATATATATATATATATATAATATCATGTCGATATGAATTTCTGGGTAATACCTGCCTTCCATCGTTTTCTCGCCACAAATCTTTATTACTTTATTCGGCTTTTTGGATACCAGCACACTTGAGCAATCTCCTTAATGAAGCAGCGGGAAATCCTCTACAGCCAACCTGAAACGGTACGAGGGTGCAGCTGTATCCCCGATCACGGACTTCAGCCACCAGCTCCTCATACCGAAGCAGCTTCCTTTCATGAGCCTCTTCAGTCCCTTCATCCCATGCAACTGTCAGCGCACCAAGCAACATATATATATATATATATATATATATATATATATGTTTTTATTTTAAAAAAAAACAGTGCTCATTACATAAGTAGAACTATAGTTTTTTATTATAATATATTTGATATATATATATATATATATATATATATATATATATCCAGACAACACACACACACATATATATATATATATATAGATAGATAGATAGATATAGATATATATATATGATATATATTTTGATAGATATATATCACAGACACACACACACACACACACATATATATATATATATATATATATATATATATATATATATATATATATATGTGTGTGTGTGTGTGGATCATTAGTTGCATGTCGCATACCAAGACGGTACTCGATTTTGGGCCATTTTTCGCTGTAGTATAGCCTAATCAATGGTAGCAATGGCATCATTGATCTTTTGCTTTAGGTCAGCTATATCTCGTTTCTTTGTTCGATACGCGATATCTTAAAAAAAACACTATTGAAAGAAGTCCAGAGGGAGTGAACGAACTGGGCCTGAATTGAGCCATACATTCCAATCAACCGGCCCGTGAATGTTTGATTAATTAACCCAGAAACATGCAAGCAATATATATATATATATATATGTATATATATATATATATATATGTGTGTGTGTGCGTGATACGCATATATATGTATATATATGTATATGATATATACATATGTATTTATATGATACATACATATATTTATATATATGTGTGTGTGTGTGATAAAGTGAAGCTTTAAACTTAATAACTCAAAAACAAAGGAATCGCGGATATGTTTATACGGGCTTTTGTCCTTGTTCTGGTATGAGGAACCGTCACCAAATTTTATAAGAGAATTTTTTATACACCCTATATATATATATGTGTGTGTGTGTGCGTCTGTGTGCAACGTATCAGATATGTATGATATATATGATACTTATACAGAAGAATCTTTAAAATGTAAAATGTGAACTTGTATTTGAAAATTTTCGTAATATAGTTCTATAGCATTTTACTTTGATAAAATTATCCTTATAATATGGGAAATACGAATACATGCAATCTTTTGTATTTCAGTCATTATTATTAGTAGTAGTAGTAGTAGTATTTCTTGGGTGTCTGTTGTATACGCATTTCCCAACCAGAATCAGAAATGGCTTCATGACATCTTCCACTGATAAAAAAAATAAGATGACACATATTTGACATGGATAAAGCTATTCCTAATATATGATCTGTACTTGTGAGTAATTTTTTTTTTTTTTTTTTTTTTTTGGTATTTCTTTAAGGCATGGGCTATCAGAAACCCATTCAATTATTCTGTCGGAACCTTTTCCAATTAATCTGAGGGCTCCAACTAAAACTGGAGTTACTGATAACCTCATGTGCCACATTTTTTAGATTCCCTCTCCAAGATCCTTGTATTTTGGGGGTTTTTTTTTAAGATATTCAAAGATACACTATTATTATTGTTGTTGTTATTATTAATATAGGATTATTATTATTATTATTAGAATTTTCTCAGATATCTTAATATCTGGTAATTAATGCATGAATAGAGGGCCACAACCAGCAGCCTTATGTGTTAGACAATTTTCTTCTGACTTTAAGTGTCTATCACTTACCGTATTATGCTTTCCATTCCTAAGAGTTTCCCTTTTTGCAACAGTTCCGCTTGGCAATCACTGCCAATATTTTTCATCTATTTCTCCATTCCGCCAATTACCGTACCTTGTACATCATTGTTAACTTGTATTATTGTTACGGTCTTCAACTCAAAATCCTGGTGAGTTCAAATTTCAATGGGTCATAATTGGTTACATTCTCGTTTTACCTTTTCTCTATCATTTTACCAAAAGGAAACAATATATCAAAGATTAACCGCTCTTTTTCTAGGTTATCGTCTAATGTCCGGTTTGCTGTGCTTGAGTTTCTTATCTGTTTGTATTTATAAAAAAAATCCTATAAAATTCAATACGACAATGAATGCTCAACAATTTACCCACAAATGAAATGCACACATGAGGTAACGGAAATTTGATTCTACAGAAAAATGCTGATGCGTCTTCTCACTGTAAAAAATGCAAATTTCACCGACTTCTTGATGAAAGACACAGAAAGAGAACTGCAGGTCCCTCTAAAAATTTTCTGTAGCAGTGTGAGGAAATTATTTAGAATTCACTGTCGTATTGGAGATTTGATGTTACATGCCATTTCAGCATTCTGCTTTACACTTTGATTCACCTTAAAACTTGGGAATAAATTCAGTTTGGAAAATGCATTCTTATGAAATGGTTTGTCCTATACTTATTCATATAAGATCTTTAGTTCTATACCTATTCATATAAGTATTTTAGAATTAGTCAATTACTTATTTATATAAGTATTTTAGAATTAGTCAATTACTTGTTTATATAAGTATTTTAGAATTAGTCAATTACTTGCGTGATACAGGCGTAGGCGATCATGTATCTTCCGATACATGACTGACGAGGCAAATTTTTTCCCGCGGTAGGTTGCCATTTCTTTCTGCAGTAGACCAGTTGCCATCCAAGGCTATAGAATCTAGTCTGTCCTGCTATTTACCCATATCTGGTGGAGAAGAAGATAATTCATACCTTTCCCAAGGGTATTAGCACGTAATGAATGTAATGGACTCGACTGGAATTCGAACTCGGCTGACCGATTCCTCAATTCGAGCCGCTATCCATTACCTCCTATTATTAATCCTATACTTATTCATATAAGCGCTTTGGGATTAGTTCTATACTTATTCATATAAGTATTTGGGATTAGCCTTATACTTATTCACATAAGTTGACCATTATTATTATTATTATCATTGCTACTGGTATTAATACACTTTTCTATATATTATTTCCACTCTGTGATTCTGTTGAGTTAATGTTTTTATTTTTTTCTTTATTATTCTTTCACTAGATTACAGCCGTCGACAGTTGGTTATGCAACCAGAACTTGGTGCCAGCTACAAGTACACGGAGGAACTTCTATCTTTGCAGAAGATTCTCCATTTTCCGGAGGAGGTGGCACTTTTACTGACAGAGACGGAGTACGAACTGTTCAACCGGGTTCCCCCACCACAATACATTCGCCAAGTGACCCTTGACCTAACACGACCAATAAACATCAAAAAACAGGCCTCAGTTGATGACCTGCTTCAAAGATTTGGAGAAGTGAGTAAAAGTAATCTGTTTTGCTGTTCGTTACATAATGGATTTTGTATATCAAATGTTGTTCTTTGGCTGTTAGCCTTACGGTAGTTTTTGTTTTAATATTTACGAAGCTCAACTTAGCCACAAAAGTGGGGCACTCAGATGCAATGGCCAGCGATACTAAATGGCTGATAACTATTCCACAGAAAAGCGAGAATTTTTTTTTATTTACGAAGCTTTGTTTCGTAAAGCATCCAGTGATTGGTAGTTGACTTGTTTTTACGGCTTATCAATCTTTTGCGGGTTATTTAAAACCGGAAAATATTTTTATGTTTTTTGTTTTTTTTTTGTGATAATAATGATTTGCTTATAAAAGTCCTACTAGTTAACCTATGGTTGGGGGAGAAGAGGTGCATTCATACAACTTTCTCAAGGGCATATATGCGTAATTGAATATAACGAACTCCACGGGAATTGAACTCGTCTCTCCGATTTCTAATTCCGAACGGTTATCCATTACACCACGCACACATCCGAGCTGGTTTTTCCAGGCTGGCATATATCTGGGTACTGACAAGACTCGACATTGCTTAACGTCAGTGATCGTACACTGATATTCACAGTAATTTAGAGTTTGTTACTTAATTTTAAAGTTTTCATTATATATTCTTTTGTAGCTGTGGGGAGATATGATCGCCCACGTCATTTCCGTTGAATTTAATCGAATAATCTGTGCATTAAAAAGTAATAATAAAATGCTTATTTCGGTATCTGTCTATATTTCTGAGATGAGGTATTATGTACACTATTTACATTATTCGGACTATTGTCCTCATCTTTGTCGCCATATTTATTACAACGTTTCGGCCGTTGTACGCTCCGGACATCTTCAGGTGGTTGGAATGTCGAACTGAACTATAAAGGATTCAGTTCGCTCACTGGGGTAGACTGTTTCTAGTTCCACGTGCAATGTTTAAAGGATGTCAGTTATCAGTTATCTCCTTTTAATTCCCCTCTCCAAGTTCTCGACTGCCTTAACCGGGTATTGAACTCACACTCTTTGGGTCCTGTCACAGGATCTAACCAACGCCTCTATCTACTGTGCCATATGTCCTATTACAAAGTTTCGGTCGTTGTACGCTCGGACCTTCTTCAGGTGGTTGTAATGTCGAACTGAACCCTTTATTTCGATCACTGTGGTAGACTGTTCTTGTTTTACGTGCCATGTTTAATGAATGTCAGTTATCAGTTATCTCCTGTTAATTCCCCTCTGCAATTTCTTGGCCTTAACCAAGTATTGAACTCACACTCTTTGGGCCCTGTCAAAGGATCTAACCAAGGCCTTTATACACTCTGCCATGTGTCCTTGATTATTTCGGTTTTTTATTTGCTAACTATTTTTTATATCGTGAAAATGTCCTTTTATACCGGATTTGACAACAAGCCCCAGACAGTAAATGCGTTACATCCCTCTCTAATGGTCACTGATGTGCATGCGCGCTATGGCACATGAATTGGTCATACTAGAAAAAGAGGAATTCAATAGTAAAAACGTCAAATATCCCACAAATATGACCATTACTGTTGCGCTGCAAACTGATATTCAATCTATCTATATTCAAGGACTTCGCCTTGTTGGAGGAAGCCCGCACTGATTGACCATGTCTTCATGGGTCTAGCCGTACTCACCACACTTGGCTAAATGTGGGACGAATATTTTGTGTTGCCACCCAAGGCTATAGGAACCTGATTCTTTATCCTTCGCTAGGGAGAAGAGATGGATTCATATCTTTCCCAAGGGCATTTACACGTAAGTGAATGCAACGAACCCGCCTGGAATTCGAACTCGGCTCTTCGATTCCGTAATCCGAACCGCTGTCCTTTACTCCACCGTGAACCAATAAATGGTTACGTAAAATATCAAAAATAATAATAACCCAGAAGCGAAAATTAAAAAACCTTCATATGTCCTCTTATGATACGTTCTTTTCTTTTTTAATACATCGAAAAATATGGCGACTCATTTTTTTACGGGTAAACAATACAGACATAATCAAAGAAATAAAAATTAAAAGCAAGGAACCATTTCTTCAAAGTAGATAAGTGTTGTAGTATACCTACGGACGATAATGGGTATGTCACCATTCACATAAATACAGTAGTTCATACTGTATGTTGGTCTGCAGTCGGAGATTCGTCTCCAGATGTACTGATCAAACTCTCTGCCTCCGGGCAGGGAATATCCCCAGACGAGGCTATGTCGAAGGGCAGAGTCTTGTCTCGGGAAACAGCTACCCGACCCCGTTCTACACAGGGTCTACTGGGAATTTTTGGCCGAGTCTACGGGCTCGGATACCCCATATAAAATTCGCCCTTGTGCCACATCTGACCGCGTGGGGCGATTAGTAGATATCTTGAAGTTGGAGATTCGTCTCCAGTTGTGCTGGTCAAACTCTCTGCATCCGGGCATAAAGTGTCTCCAAATGAGTCTATGTCGAAGAGCAGTCTCTCGTCTCGGGAAACAGCTACCCGACCCAGTTTTATACGAGGTCTACGGGTAATTTTTGGAAGAGCGTGGAACCCCACATTAAATTCGGCCTTGTGCCATGTCTGACCGCGTGAAGCGGTTGGTAGATATCCTGCAGTTGGAGATTCATTGTGGAATTTACTTGACTCGCTTCTAGCAGTTGCCTACTTCTACGGGTCGCTAGCGAATCTTATGTGTGTTGTTCTTGTTCTAACTATTATCGTTCATTACCAATCTTCGTTTGATTATTCTATTCAGTAACCTTCCCTAGGTTACAACAATAAGTCATCTTGCAAGCCATTAATAAGTATATTTAGAAATGTTTTCCCGCGTCAAAGTTGTAGTACTACAAATAACGGGATGGTGGATTTGTTTTTTAAGGCTTATCAACCCTTGGTGGGTTCTTTAAAGCCGAAACCTATTTAAGATTGTAGTTTTCAGTATTCCTAAGCGATCCCCCATCTAAGTACTGAGAGGATTCGACACTGCTTACCTTCGATGATCGAACGCAAACAAGCATTTTCAATGTGCAAATAACAGAAACTGCGAGATTATAACATGGGACAAAAAAGGTTCGATTTGCAGCTGCGATTTTGTAGTCGCTTTTCTGTAAACGAAAATTGCAACCGTTTTATATTTTAACAATGGTCAAAATTTTAAATCAACTTTAGCGGCATTGCCTATGATTTGTGTGATATTACAATGACGTTATTGTATGAATAAGTATTCTATTTTTACATTATGCTTTTTTTATGTTTTAATCATTTTTATTATTTGGATACATCGTATAACAAGAGTAATAAGTTATTTTAACTGTTTAGTTAGTCACGGTATCATACCAGTAAAATTCGGTCTAGCTTGTCTCGTTAGATCAATTTTGTGATTGAGTAGCTATGCTTAGTAAAACACTATCGCACACATTGACTGAGAAGTGAGTTTGTTCCTCACTCGGTGCTCTACACTTTCAGCCTTGTGCCACCTCTAAGCTACAGTTAGAAAACAACCATTACGGTTATATTTTAAACCTGAAATCAGACACAAATTAAGTATGACAAAACTTAGCTAAAATTACCTTAATTACCTAAAGTATAGTATAGTTGTCGTTTGTACTGACTTCAAAATCATAAATTTTCTCATGTAAAACATTTTCATTCTAACCGCATTTAATAAAACTTTGACCAAAATTGAGTTACATATTCTTTCAGAACTCAGGCGATCATGGTTCTCCACAGCTTTCTTCTGCTTTGTTTATTTATTTATCATTGAATTGCTATATCTTTTTGAGAAAGATATAGTGGAGTAATTTCCCTTTCCCTTCTGTACAATTTGGATTTCAGAGTTTTCTTATTCTTAGACGAGTTGCTACCCAAATTTAAAGAGCTCCGGGTAGGTGGGTGGAGAAGAGATGTATTAATTCTTGTCCCAAGGACACTAGTACAAATGTGAAAGCAAGAACCAATGCAGAAACTTGAACCCGGCTCGCCAATTCCACTTTTCGTGTCTATAACCGTTACACTATCCAAACTAAAAGTTGGCAAATATTGAAGAAAGAAAAGCAAAAAACGTTGGCCAATAGCAAGATGGAGAAATCGTAAATTATCAAGGGAAATTATAAAAAGTGAAAAAAAAAGCAAGAACAAGGCGTTTTTACAATTCCTTCCATAAAACTGTTTGTATAACTTTTTTTTTCTTCCATGGTGACTGTCGATAGTGACTGGAATGTTGCTTGCATTAAACTTGACATCCGGTTTCTTTCTTTCTTTTCTTACTACCTTTTCGCTTTCTTCAGGTGAGCAGCTGGATCACCCACTTGATCATTACCCAGCCAACTCACGACGACAGAAAAGCGACGTTGTCATGTATCCTGAGGTTAGCTTCTTATTGTCTTGTCATCGGAAATTTCAATTCTGCCATAGAAATTGTCACCGGTCTCAGGTAAGCAAATATTTCTCTTGCTTTTTTTTTTTTTGGCTTTTTTTCATTTATTTCTCTTCATTACTTCCGTATCTTATTTCCCAAATATTTCTCCCAATCTGACTGGATAAAGGAAATAAAGTTGTTTATTTGTTTGCTTGTTTCTTCTTTTAAAAAAAAATCGTAAAATAGAGAGAGAAAGGTAAGTCAGCGTCATTGCTCCTTATTATCAAATGTTTTGGATTGTACAAGAGACAATGTATTCTTATTTTAAATCATCTGAACATTTCTGACAATTTGTATTACCAAATCGACCCACTCAACAAAACGATGAACATTACTATTAAACGGCTCATCACTTACTGCTTTTTTTGTATAAGCTCATCGCCGAAATCTTTATCAATGCCGAGTGATGTATCATTTTTTTTATTTAATCAATCTGAATTAACGAATATGTGAGACATTTGCCTGTTCGCTATTTCCACAAACGCTCTTCATTAATATACTTTACTACTATTTTATGACAAATGCAAATTTTATGCATTTTCCTCGATAAAATTTAAGGCGTCTGTGCAACGAAAGTTAACAAATTTATTAGATCAGATTGTACTCGTGATTACTTATATTATTTTAAAACTGCTTTTGTTATAGTCGATCATATAATTCCACATGTCACTTTTGTATGCTACATTTAAGTTGTTTATTGTCAATTTTGTCGTCTTCACTGTATTGTAGGTACCTCGACTTTTTCACGGAAAACAGCATAGCGTAATAAAAACGTCATAAACTTAATAAATATAAAGTTTTATCGTCAAAATGTTTATGCTATTATTAAGAAGAAAGACCAAAGTCTTTTTTATTATTTTTTGAATTTTTTTTAATCCTTTCTAACATGTACGAAATTTTGGTTAAAATCTTGTTTCTTTTACGTCATTGCGGTGGCATAATAATTACAATGACATTTTTTGCCTTTTTTCTGTTTAAAACACATTGATTTGGAAATTCCTGTAAAAATCAAATAATTGTCCAATTTTAATGAAATTTTCAGGACTTATTCATAAATGAATGAAATTATTTTTGAAATTTTTCTTTTTCTTTTTTTTTTTTTTTAGAAAATTTTGGTAATTTTTTTATAATCGAATAAATTTAATATACTTCAATTATTTATTTATTTTTATTTTTTTACATTATTTACATTCGGACTACTGTTCTTATCTTTATTATTTTCACAGGAGATATCGACTAGTTCTTATTTATAGTACTACTCAGTGAATTTGGTGACACAGAGGTTTTGAATTCATTTCTTGGTTCTGGCAGTGTGTACTTGAACTCGATGGAAATAGGCGAGTAATAACTGATCAACACTATGAATAAGAACCAGATGAGATATCCCCAGCCATGGATTGAGAACAGTCTACTCGCGTAGATTAAAATAAAGGGTTAAGTTCAGAATACACTGTCAATTATCCAGATCAATATACACTTGCGGAAGGCCGAAAGACACAACGGACGAAACGTTGTTATAACAACAAAGATGAAGACAGTAGTTCGTATATAAATAGTGTAAATAAAAAATAATTAGTTGATTAAATGGTTATAGATTGGCATCTAGGTCCCACCCATTTACTGTTGAAATAGATAAATATAAACGCCACTTCTACTCCAACAGTTGATTTCCTCCTACTTCCCGACATTGGAACTTCCTTCCTCCCAATTGGTTCTCTGATAACTACAATCTTTAAAAATTTAAATGCAACGTCAATCGCCATCTTCTGTTGGGTATTATAGGTTTATAAAATGTCCACCGCCCTTTTTTGGACATTAATGGGTTATGCAGAATAGTTTCAATATATGATAAAATAAAAGCGCCAGTTTAAATTCGTGCCTTTTATTGGTTAATAAAATCTTCTATTAATGGTATTAAATTAAGCTTAAAGTTTCATCTCCTCTCATTTTTCTGTATTTTTACCGTTCTGCAGGTCTGAGAAGCTGAAACCTTTCTGGTTGAACCTTAACGACAGTGAACGTTCGGGTTTTCAGCAACTGGCCGACATGCTGTTGCCCTCAGAACCAAGCAAAGAGTTCCGGGAAGCAGTCAGTAGGTCCCTCGACATTCCAGACTGTAAAGTAGTGCCTTTCATCGGAGGATTTCTCAGGGATTTGCGAGCGGTCTTTGTCGGTGTGCCCAGTATAATTGTATTGGCTTCGGAGGATAACCAGTCCTTGGAGGTAAGGAATATATAATATCTTTGACAGAATTATAAAAATCCTCAAGAGAAACATATACCATTTTTTATTTTTTTGTATGCCTCAACTTACCGAATAGCTGTTGTTTGAAATGAAAGTAACTTCCCTTGTTTTGGAACTCTTCTGTGAGTACAATGTCAGCATGAACCAAAATTTCGAACCATTGTTATTTAAAGGTGAATAAAGCTTTCATGCTAAACTTAACTGTTTGATTTACAATAGAACGAACATGGGCAACAGTAGTTCTTGGACATTTTTTCTCCAACGCTCTTTGCACGAGCTGATGCCTCTATATTAAAATTTCACTGGTAAATTAAAAAAAAAACAGTTAATTTTGCATGTTTAAGTTTGTAGCATTATCACAGTGCAACCTTGAAACTATCATAAAAACACAGAAAGTGGAATTAATAAATAGTAAACACTTCGAATACCTTCATGTGTGGATCAGTCATAACTTAATATCGGAGATAAAGTAACTGAATATAGAATGGTCTCCGCTTTCGTCCAACTTCGCAAAGCCAAAAATCTTAACCTATGAACTCTATTAATGTCCTTAAATAGCTTTGTCATATCTAAACTCTCATCTGAATGCAGGGCATCCAACTCGCATAGAATTTTCTAAACTATCAGCTATATCCAACCGTTTTCTCAGATCAGTGATTTAAAATGGCTTCAAGTGTCTGAGACAGCAACAACTACAATGGATAACACATGTAACTCGAAGAGGAAATAATGACATAAGATGTTGACATTCCACACTGCCTTGAATAAAAGGTTAGGAAGGAAACTTCCGTCAGTATTAGTGTCATATAGGAATAAAGTGTCGCTACCGACGGGTAAAGGAAAAATATATATATGAATTAGAGGTTTCTGGCAGAGTATTGTTCGTAGGCGTTACTATTATTGTATCTGTGATTTACAAAGTCTCTCCTACAAACGGGCATTACGAAAATTAGAAAGCGTTATAACAGTGGACTATTTTCCTTAAAAACTGTTTCAAACGAGAATAATGCTGCCTGTCCAATCAGTGAGCCTCAAGATGAGCTTTTTTCCCTGGTGCCTTAAGTACGTGAATTTAAGCATGCTACTAGATTGGCATCTAGGTCCCACCCATATACTGTTGAAATAGTTAAATGTAACCGCCACTTCTAGTCCAACAGTTTCTTTCCTCGTACTTTCCGACATTGGAACTCCCTTTCACTCACTTGCTTACTTGATAACTACAATCTTCAAAAATTTAAATGCAACGTCAATCGCTAATTTCTGTTGCCTTGATCACTATATCTTTTTCCTTTGCTCAATCCTCCCTACACTGACACTTTTCTCTCACTTACATTCTCCGTAGCTACCCCCCCCCCCCACTGCGTGCTAGTGGCACACCTGCTTGCAAAAAAAGGAAATGGATAATTTCACGAATCACCGGAAGTGAAATGTGATACGAACAACTTAGTGGCCATGTTAGACCATCTGGAATTTGACCTGCAGGATTTTAATTCATACACATATTGCAGTTACAGCTAAATGTAAATGCAAAAGCAAATATATATAAATAAAAAACATATAAGACGTATATAAAATTTTCAATCGGAGTTAATTCAATCATCTTGCTACCCTGTTAAAAAAAAAAATAGCACCTTCCATAACTTCCCTGAACACTTATTGCTCCTTTGAAACTTCAGGGCGTCCCCAAAGGAGGTCCGCTCATGTTAAGAATCACTATACTTAAGTTGTTTCCATTTTGGTATGAATTATTGTCATTTTTGTTTCACCATTGTTCTTGCTTTTCATTTCAATCGTCAGATTGAAAGCTGGGATAAAAAAACTCGTCAAATAGGAATAATGGGAAATCATTATCTAAGAAATTCAAACACGTTAAGTTTAATATGTCGGCTCGTACTATACGTAAACAAGGACTTTTTGACAATGATATTCACCATGTACAAGGCCCAGGTACTCGCGATAGGAGAAGCACTTTCCCCGGGTAAAACGGTGGACCTCCTTCTCAGCTGAGTGCACGCTCCTCAAAGACAGAAACGTTTTTTTTTTTTTTTTTTTCGCTTCCTCCTCCTCCCAAAAGTTAGCGTTCCCGCCATCTTGTGCACACATCCGATCCAGGAAATGCAGTCGTAAATTATCTCGACGTTCGGCATTCATTGACCTCCCTCGGACGGATTGAGGCAGCAGACCTTATGACGCACCATAGAAGGAGACTAAACAAAGCTTTCCTTAAGTCGTCTAGAGTGGTGCACGGGGGTGCCAAAACTGAGAGACAATAAAAGATGAAGGGTAGATGTATGTAACGTACACCTCGGCCCTTCCATTCAAGATTCTTTCGCAGCCACGGATTAACCACGGCTACGACCTTCTCCAGAACTTCCGACCAATTCCTCTCCAGCTGGAAGTCGGTACCAAACTAGACTCCGAGTATGTTACACGGCCCGTCTGTCCAACTGAAGAGACCCAGGAGAGGCGAACCTTTCCATGTAACCAACCGCAAGCCGATAGACTTATTACGGTTAATCTTGGTCCCTACCACCGTCTCATATGCCCGGATTTCTCTTCACGAGCTTGGTCCTTGTTAAGCAAGGGCACCAACTCGGCCTTGGCTATGATTAGCCTATCGCTATCTCCTGATTTCACAGCATCCTCTATTCTAGATTTTAGTGCCCTTTACACTGCTAGTATATCTTGATTGAGTCTCTTGCTATAATTGGCAGTAAAAGACCTAATAGTAGTCTTAAGGTTATTCCCAAATACAGATCTTCTCAGTTTTCACTGTATCGATAGTAACAGCTGGCTCCGAAAATACTTCACGCTCAACAAAGAAGTGTTAAATTTTCAGTACCCAGCCGAACTAGACTTAGCCGTAGCTAAATTGATGCGGACCCGAACCCGGACTAGCCTATTGTCCGAATAAACTACACTATGGAAATTAGGACAACCTAGAAGATCTAAGTCGACACTCCTAACTAGAACTTTGCTCTTGGAAGGGGACAGTGGTGTAGTTCCGATGCCGCTAGTTGCCAGTCACACGTCGTGATGTTGAGTTGAGCATAGCGTTGATAAGAGGAAGTATCAAAGGAAAGAGTTGATTTATTCGTCTAACGTATCAGTTGTCCCAACTGTCATTTACCTACTTACTTACATACCAACCCAGACCGAGCAAATGAAACACTGAATAAAAACGGGGTTCGAGTTCTCATTTCTCGACCCGGCATTTGGTTTCATCTATCGTTTCCTTGTGAACAAGCAACGGTTCTTGTTGCACATAGACGTAAACGAAAATGGAGACGCAACATGGAGTAATTGTTGGCCGGTTGGTGGAAAGTTGAATAAGAGTCTCGTTTCATGTTTAAATACTTGGCCTAGATCTGACTGGTTTGTTTGAACAACGCTACATGATTTCATTTTTTTTTTTTTTTATTAACCGAAGCTGTGGGCGCTTTTTCCTTTTGTCTCATAAATATATATTCTGGTACATGTGTTCCAAATTGTCAGTTGGGGAAATGATTTCAACGAAAGCTGTAAAGACATTTAGATATTATTACTTTATGAGTGTCGCTAATAATGCAAGTTTAAAACTGACCAATCAGAAATAAAGTAATACGGTAATATTTTACAGTAATAAAGATTTTCACTCTTTGAACTTTTACTGAAAATCAAAGTTTTGCAACTGAGCGTTTTCCTTGCAATGAATTCTTTTTGATTCTCAACCGATTCTTAGATATTTTTTCATCAGTATTAACAGATAAGAATGCGGTGCCTGTTTTAATCATATTCATCAGTTAGCTTGAATCAATGAGACATTTGTTCAATATATGTCAATGTTTATTAGAGGAGTTAGATATACACTTGGATTTCTTAAAAAAAAGATTAGCTTAAATCTTATCTATTTTTCGACCTCAGAATACTGAGTTCAGAGCTGGAAATCAATGATGTCTCGATTGTGATCAATTATATTCCTACTGTCGTCGTCAGAAATTGGAAAAATTTCTGATGATATGTAATTAAAAAAATGGCTTTTCTCTCCTAAGAGAAATATAGCGTGTACCTCCAACAGATGCCAGCTGTAGTAAAGTAATCTTACAATTACTGAATATACCCATGTATCGCGTGATCTCGCGAAATCTTGCGACCCCCCCTCCATATTTTCACTTACAAAAAGTGTATTATGCAAACTCCTTTTTTGAGAGAGCAAATTAGAATAGAATAACCTCTTTTCCTTTATCTCTTTATCCAATCTTCTGAGTAAAATAAGTTAAAAAAGTAAAAGAGAATGATAAAAGTATCGGTAGTAACGTTATACTCGTTGTGTAAATGCGTAAAGCCATAAACAACCGAACGAGAAACAGCTAATCATCTTATTAACGTAAACAATGGAAATGATGCATATTCGCTATGTTTTTTTTATAAAACGATACGAATATGTGAATATTACATGCATTATATTGGATGCAGTTAAGTAAAATATCAGTTTTATCAAAATCATGTTTATTTTAAATACATCTGTACTTTTTGACTACAGTAAATGGATTTATAGTTTGATCCACAGCGTAGCCAGGGCCAGCAGTACATACGCTAATTTTATATCGCGTGTATGATACGACCCTCTTAAAATTAGCTTCAAAATTAGGTCTTCAAAAGTCGCATGGTACGCGAGTATACACGGCACATTAGTTATATATTCTGTATGTGTAATCAAGGATTTTAATCTATACAATTAACTACTGTTGCACGTAAAGAAAGAATTCTACTTTTTAGCTCATTAAAAGTAAAAATATTCCATGAAAGCTACTAAAATCCGTACCATTAACAAACAACGGTCATATCTAAGTAATTTTACAATTTCATTGATTATACTTTCTGCATGAATAATCTCGGATTTTTGTCTTTAGACTTAACTATAATGTCGCGTGTAAAAATGAATTGCCTTTCTTAAATCATTAAGGTTTAAAAAATATCTGAAGAATGCTAACACAAAA